CGCGATTCGTCGACCGGTTGTGTCGCCTCTATCCCATTCACTCGGTATATGCGTGTACGATTCGTCCTCTTTACTCGTAAATAACTCGGAAAATTGTATATCGTGCGTTACGGCGAGAATGCTGGTGAACATCGGCGATTTCAGCGTCACCGAGAGGCCAGCTACAGTTGGGATCGTTGATACGAGGTGAGCGACTGAAAGTTGAGAGTATATCGCCGGGATTGTTGCACGTCGTTCGAAAGGCCATCGATTTTGACAGAGTAATTAGCTACGATAGCACACGCAAACAGAGAGGGAAAGTTAAGGATTACAGTGACCTTTCATTCAGAAACTGGTTTTATCGTTCGTCCGGCTATTGTTGCGTATCTGCGTGCTCGTTTCATGCACACGCTTACGCGTCGAAACGTCGTTCCTGGGCGAATGAAAAATCGAACGTCCCTGATTGATCTGATTTTAATTATTCCGTTACATTGTTTACGCTCGTCGGGTTATTTATACATCGTTGATAATTCGACCTATAATAAACGTACGTACTTGAAGATCGCGCGTTGCTCGTTTCCGTAGAAATCAATACACGTCGGTCAGACCGAACGCCAACTACAATTACAATGTCGAGTCGATCATTTTATCGTTCTGTTCGTTCGTTCGTTTGTTTTGTTTCATCTTCTCGGATGGGAAACTTCTTTAACAAATGGAATTGTGTCGTTGATCGCCCCGGAGGCAATCGAAACGCGTTATTGTTAGTCACCGTCGTTCCGACATTCACCGATCGTCAGTCGCGTTTCACGTGTCCATCTGTCGCACAAATTTACGCTCGTTCGCGCGTTTTCCGTTTCAATCGTGAACGAAAGAGTTCTAGGACGACGTGCCGCGAGAATTCTCCAACTGCCGTGGCACCGAGTCGCCAAGCAAGGTCATATTGGAAATTACACTTGCAGCCTGTAATTATACATTACTCGACCGTGTTTACGACCGCCTTTGTGCGGGAATGCATTCACGGTTTCTACAACGAGCGTGCCATCCCTTTCCTTGGCATTCAGGCAATTTTACCACTCGCATTCTTTTCATTCGTGTACCAGCGACGAACGGACGTTGCAAAAACCGTGGCCGATTAAAGGGAGGGGAATAATTATCGTCAGTTGAATGCTTCTTCTTTGTGCGTCGATCTTTCTTCCTTTCATTCCTACCTGGTTCTTTTCGTTTCCTTTCGTCTTGGAGACTAGACAAGAATAACACGTTGATTTTTTTTCTCAAGCTCGATCAGAGGTAAACGAGAAGATCACGCAATCTTATCGGGACATAGTTTGAACGAATAACCGTGAGTTAAATCCCAATTATTTCATATCAGATAGTAACGGTCTATATTTAGACACAAGGTGGACAGTACTCTCTCTCTCTGTATCGACGCAGCTTCGTTCCAAGCCTGTAAAAATCTCTTTTCCGCGATGGATTTTTGTCGTATGGACTTTCATACGATAGGTGTCTGTTGCATTAGGTACCTCAGGTACAATTTTGTACAACGCTCATGATAATTAGAGGATCGTTTCTCGCGTTTCTTTGATTTCTGCAATGTGCTTCTTGCGTTTCTACGATCTTAAAAGTCACCTTTATTGCGATACCAACAACGCGCGATTTCGTCTAATCCACTTGGAACTTTATGGTAACGATCCTCTACTTGTCTCGAGCAAAATTGTTGAACTTTATGACTTCAGGACTAATACCACGTTTGTTTGTTTCCTTTGTTTTCGCAGGTTCACCTAGTGCATACCGTCGTCTCACAGCAATTCACGATCGGAGGAAGGACGTGGCACTCTGATACACGGATACGCCGGTGGAAATCGTACCGCAGTGGAAATTCCACCGATCTCTCTTCGTTCACGTTCCGTATCGTTCGCGTTTTACCTTCTTCTCTGCCCCTTCTCTGATCGAGAACGTGGTCGAGACGTTAGTCGACCCGCTACGAGAAAACGGCGATTCCCTCTGCCAAATTGCAGGGATTCCCGAGTGGCGAGTGATCTCGCGGCTCGAAATCGGGACACGAGAAACGTCGTGGCGTGATAATATCATCGTCGAGCACGATGGCTTGCGAATTCTTTAAGGTGAGTCTCAATGTTATTTAACGAGCGTTGAAAAATATAGAAAGAATAAATATAAAAAGAATAAAAGAGAGAACAAAAAAAAAAAAAAGAAAAGAAAAACATCGCTGTTTCATACACATAGTTCGTGCACATAGTAAGCGCTTGCCAATTTATCGGCAGTTATATTCGATAGCCAGCTAATTGTTTCGTAACTACCGGATATAACCGCGCCTACTCCTACTTCTCGAGATTATGAGATTACTCGTTACGAGATTGCTGGTGTTAATTGATCGAGAGACGAGAGGAGGGCTCAATGACTCCGTAATTGCACCTAGCCACAGTATAAGGATGTTTAGCATAGGCGCACCTATACCGCGGCTACGTGCAATTTTTTCCGCTTCTTCCGCCACTGAAACGCTTCGAAGTGCTGCGCACCACTTCCGATCTGTCCAATTCCGTTTGCATTTGTTCACAGTTTTTTTTTTTTTTTTTTTTTTTTCATTTTTAAGGACGATGCAAAACGAATTGTATCGAACAGAATGATCCACGATTGATTTGAAACGAGTGCGTTGAACGATTAACGAGAGATATTGTTATTGTGGAGCTTCGTTCGACTCATACTTGCAGTCGCGGTACTTTTCCATTGTTTTTATATGAATCACACGCGCGTCGAACTATGTATGGAAAAAAAAGAAGGTCGTGGCAATTTTCTGTTGTCTCAGATGTGGGATTTCGGCGTCGGGCGCGAGCTCGGGTTTACTTAACGACGGCGAACGATATTAATAATGCTCGTTATTGTGGTACTTTAATTGTCGTCGTGAGGCGGAGCCCGATGCATGCAGGAGGCCCGGCTTAATTACTGCAGCACGATCTTGCAGTAACTGGCTCATCGTTTCCAATTTTACGTGCACGTCGGCTGGAATGGAAATTCATAAGCTTCGTTTCGCTGCGATCGACCGTTCCGGGAGAGGGGGAGGAAACGTTGCATCGAGAAATTTCCCTCGAAGAAATTTCACGTCCCGCGTCGCTCGGCTTACTCGGTACACCGCCGAGCAAACGATTTCAATTTGATTGAATCGCGAAAGTAGTCGATTCTCGCCGTGCTCGCTCGTGTTAACTCGTTCCTTTACTTTACCGTTGAAACTGACTGCTGCACTTTCAGCAACGGCAACACTCGCCTGCGAGCGAGGGAAAACTTTCCCAAAGCTTAGCTTTGTGCACGCCCTCAGGAACTGGCGAGCAGAACTTTGCGTGAATTAATCATCGTGTCTTCTCGTTTTGACTCGCTGTCAGACGTTTCGGCGAATTGACGCGAGAATCGTTCTCGATTAATTCGCAACGGAAACCGTGTTACGGGACGGATCCGTGGTCTGACTATCGTCGTGTCAAGCCGAATCGCCTTCAAGGGAACATGATAACCGCGGGCTCGCGCATGCGTGCACACACACACACGTTCACACGTCGCTTCTTCCCCGATCGAGCCTTTTCTTCCTCGTTCTTTTCCTTCTTCGCCGTTGCGCAATTTTTTGTTTTTTTTTTTCTTTTACGGAATTCATCCTTCCTGCGTGGCTGATGGAATGTCATTACCACTTGCTCACTCGTGCGTTTATGACGCTTGTAACGTGTGGCGTGGCACGCAGCAAAAAAAAGCAAGCAAAGAAACGTCGAAATGTTACTTCCACGATGTTGTTGCAATCACGAGGCGATGCAAATGCGATCACAAAAGTTTTTCTTTTCAAGGAAAGAAAGAAAAAAGTATATATGTATATATATATTACGAAATTCTATGTAAACACGCGCATCGGTTAGGCGCATCACGAAATCGCTGCTGTGCAAGCTGTTAGACGACGCTTGTTGTTCAATCTCAGTATAGAATATCATAAATCACACACGAATTATAACGTTAAAACCAAATAACGTTAATAACAAGAAAACGACGAAATAAAAAAAAGAAATTTATCGCTCGTTGCTCTTAGTATCCCTCGGATATGCAGCGTCGGGCGGTCTTTAGTCAACACAGCCGAGGAAGACGTTGAAGGGGATGACGATGATGTCGATGTTGTATAAATTCTTCTCTCTGTGTCTGTGTCCTGGCGTGTAGCTCAAACGATGGCCGATTCACGCGGCTTCAAGCCAATAAACCAGTTGTGGCAGAGCGCGGCAGTGTCGACGGACCCGGATTCGGAGTGCCTCTACGAAGAAATCTCGGGCCTTTCGGGGTCCCAGGATACGGAGCCAGGGCCGGCTGGTGCCGCCGTCGGCGAGGAGGAGGAGGAGGAGGAGGAGGAGGAGGAGGAAGAAGAGGAGGAAGAGGAAGAGGAAGAGGAAGAGGAGGAGGAAGAGAGAGGAAGGCTCGATTTTGGTGCACAGGTCGGCGGTAGCAGCTGGTGGAGGCAGGGCAAAGGAAGCGATAGAAACGCCGCCAGTAGCAACGCCGGCACGGCCGGACGTAAAGCTAGCAAAAGTGTTGGAACTAGCGCGAGATCGCGCAGCAGATCGGCCGATCGGCCATCGGGCAGGCGTCAGGACATCATCAGGGTGGAGGAGGAGCAGTATGCCTCACGAAGAAGTTACGTGGAGCCCGGTACAGGCGCCGTACTGCCGCCTCCTGTTACCGGCCTCAAGCTGACCAGGGGGCGTGCAACCAGCACCGTCGCCCGCTATTTGCACTCGGCCTCCACCAACACCGGTCATTATCACCACCATCATCACGGGCTGCACGGACAGTATCCACCCGGCAGCACCGGTAGGCCGACCGGCAGGCATCACCAGCATCATCACCCAAGCCGCGGCTCGTTCAGTAATGAGACGCAGGAAGAGGTACAGGAGGACGATGAAGCCACTCTACGGGAGTTGCTTGTAAGGTACGTTTCCCCCGACGTACCCACGATAACATATTAAACCTCCCGCCCCTCTCCCGCCACCCAAACCTCACCCAACCACCCTCTTATACTTATATACCTTAACGTTTTCTGTGAAACACCTCCACGCGTCTTCTCGATTTTTTTTTTTTCTATCGTAGCGTTAACACGCAACGACGTAACGACAACTAGCCGCGGTTCTCTTTATACTATACCTATACCACTTGTACCAACTGTTCAAGCTAATTACGACCAATTACGAGGCTCGCGAGTCAGAGTTTCGGACTTCGGAGCGATACATTACCGGGAAGCTACCACGGGTAAAGGAGAGCTTACGTTTCAAAATCAAAATTGTGTGTTACACGTGATTTATTGAAAAATCATTTTGCCGGAATAATCACGTTGTCGCATGGGCGTCGCCACCGACGTCTCTGAGAATTATCTGGATTGTTTGGATGTACCAGCCGAGTACCAGCCATCTACATATGTATCTGACACACCGGGCGATCATTTTCCAGTCCATTGATTATTTATGTCAGACTTATCGATCTGTTTCCACTTGTTTCTGTATCTTTCTTTTTTTTTTTCCTCCCTTCTTTTTTTCTTCTACTTTTTCCCCCGACGAGACTTGTGTACGCGAACTCGTACGCGTTTGCGTTAACGTGGAGGATTGCTTTCTTTCCCGGTTTTCGACGAAAACGACGAAAATTCGTTCGACTTGGCGGAAAGAGATGTTCAGAGGGAAATGACATACACGGTTCGACATTGTTGAAATTCGATCGTGAACTTTCAATCTTGGCGAATCCTGCGGGCGACGAACTTTCTTCTTTTAACAATCTTTTAATTCCATCATTAATTGATTTCATAGCCTAGCGCTTCTCTTTTTTAGGATCCTGTATTAATATTCCGTAGTGATCTCTTTCATAGGCTCATACATAGAATTATCACGTAACATTCTGTTCCTTGTTTCTTCAGCGATTAAAACGTAGTTGAGTTACTCTTAGCAGTCCTGCCGTTTAACAAGTCCGACCGTAGTTGATCGAAAATATTTGCAAATTTTTTCAAATATTATTCCTCCTTCTCTTTATCAAATAAAAGTCTTTCGAAGTAACTTTAGCTTAGTGCCACGGCAGTTCAGTAGAACAACGTATGTATAAGCTCTTAAGACTTGCATACCAATTAAGAGAACACTTCTCGCTCTCTATTATTCGCCCTGAAGTACCCGAATCGATAGCACTTACTTATCGATCATAAACTCTCTCTCGCTCTCTCTCTCTCTTTCTCTCTCTCTCTCTCTCTTTCTCTCTATTTCGTAGACAAGAATTACTATATCCAACGAACCTTTTCCACAGACATTGTTCTTTTCAATGTCCAACAATACTTGGGATATTCTCTAAACGCATCCAGGTAATTCCCGGCCTAAGTGGCGGTGCCTCGTTCACGATTGAGTTAACGATCGAACGAAGAGAAAACAGTAAAGCTAATAGCAAGCGAAAAGAAAAAAAGAAAAAAAAAAGCTAAAAGAAAGTAACGGAAGAAAAGAAGCAACCGGGATAGCAAAAAAAAAAAAAAAAAACAGTCGGATAAAATAAAGTAAAATAAAAGAAACAGACGTTTTCCCTGCTTACCATTTTACATAGACTCTATGTATCAGAGAATGCAATGCAAGGCTTTGTGCCGTGCCATTTTTCATTTATACATAAATCACACTCGCTCTAGTCCTATTCTTGTACATACTACACACCCTTGATCATAAACAGTAATATCGGGACACCGATGATACGTTGTTATACGGTTTTACATAAAAACTCTTTTGGCTGCGGCGCTCGCAGGCTTACCACTGATTGCTCATATTCCATTCGATGTCATGTCACTTTTCTCGAAGTCAGGTACACAAATAAGTGCGCAAACAGCACCCGAAACGATAACGGAGAATATCGAAAACGGGGGGACAAAGGAAAACAGGCGTAGCCAGCGAATGCACAACGGCAAAAGCGCGGGTATAGTTTGCGAATCACACGCACGATATGTATACTATACTGAGCGTTTCTCACCGATCATTGTCTAACCACTGTTGTTCTGTGTGAATGCACTATAATGGAATACACGGCCGAAAACGAACAAGAGAAATTCGTTCCACACACACGACGCATACAACGCAGGCAACATACACGTATTATATTTATTCCATATAGACGCGACAGATACAATCATATCCTTGGCATCTGGTTCTGATCGATACATTCTCATATATCGTTACTTCGATGTGTGCCACCTTTGTGACTTATTTGTGTGCGTGCCTCCTGTTATTTATCACTTTATCATGAGATCATGCTGATTTTTGTCAATTATTTTGCCGATCAATATATATCGTTTCGCATTAATTAAAATGATGGGCCCAATTCAAATTGCAAGCTCGCTTGTGGACGCGGGCGACTAGGCAGGGGTGAGTAAGCTGGCGGCGCGTCGCATGGCGATGCGTGAGAAAAAAGAACGAAAAAAGATTAAAGAAAAAAAAAAAAAAAAAAAAAAGAAATCAGATTTTACAAAAAAAAAAAAAAAAAAAAAAAAAAAAAAAAAAATTGTAAAAAAAAAAAAAAAAAAAAAAAAAAGAAAGACGAAATGTCTTCACACGTGACGAACCTGTCCTTTAGAAGAATTGGACGTCACGTGAATAATTCGAGCGAATATATCATTGTATGACATGATTTTGACTGAACCACGACTGTGTTTCCAAACTAGGTAAAGTTTTACAGAGTGAGTGAGATAAGAGGCAGGGGCGGGCGTCGTCGGCCTTTAAACCCCCCGCCACACGTTACCCCTCCACCTTTGGTTGTGGACCCACTTGACAACAAGCTGTCGTTCTGAGTCAATTGATTGGATTTGGTGGATAATCCAACGTACGTACATATGTCGTGAACAAAGCAAAGAACAAATAGATCTGTGAGAATAAGACGAAATACTGAATCAAGAGGAGTGAGTGGGGAGGCATAGAGGCTACTGTAGTTTCGGAACACAGCCATGGTCTCCCTACCTCCCAGGTACATTGCATCATCGCTGCTCTTTCTTTCTCTCTATCTCTGTCTATCTTTTTCTATCTGTCTAATTACTTATCTAATTATTATTTTCTTTGATCTCTCTCTCTTTTATATTATCTCCTCTGTACCCTTTTTTTTTTCTATTCTTCTTCTGTACAAGTTTCTTTATTTTTCTTCCATTTAAGTTTTTACTTTGTCATTCGGGTCATACATTTTCACCCCCCTTTCTCTCTCTCTCTCTCTCTCTTCTTCCACTAAGGCTCATGTGTTCATTCATTTTTCACTATTCACCAGTCACTCGACGTGCCTTGCGTAAATTTTCTCTCTTTCTTCACTCTGTCACATGCTCACGTACATTCTCTATCTTTCTTTTTTTCTTTCTTTCTTTCGTTTTTTCTTTCTTTTTCTTCTTTAGTTTCCGTTCCTGAGTAAAAAAAAAAAAAAAAAAAAAATCACCTTTCTGCTTGGCTGTGCACATCGATCGATAAGTTTGCTAAAATCTCCTTCGATCGAGAGATTTCTGATCATTCATCATGATCTATGCGTATATATTATTTATTCATTGTCTACATGCAACGTTCGAATTGAAATCGTGCATCGAATCATATTTTTCTTACCACCACTTGCACATTCCCGCATCGTGTCAGTAGAGTAATCACGCTTCGCGTGTGCCGAAGCTCTTTCGCGTTTATGGGGAAAACGATCGTAATCGTTGAGACGATAAGAAAATATGTAACAAGAAAGACCAAAGAATGATCGTTTCTAGAATAATCGCAAAATTTTGACGGATCGTTTCGAAACTCGCGTGGGCGTAGTTTACACTTTAACGGAGACTATGATAGTTTTCATCTCTCACCTTCACAAACTTCCATCTAATGTGCACAGCTCTGACAACTATGTAATATATATAATATATACATATATATGTATATGTACATTAAGTATATATATATACATATATATTTAAATATATATATCACCGTAGTGTTTCTCACCTTGACACTTACCCATACACAGTTTAGACGTGCTTTTAGTGGCGTTTGTACGTTGTGCTATATTTTTCAATTTAATATATTTCTATGTTCGTATATACATAGACGGAATATGATACATTAAATACATATATATGTGTGTGTATATATATATATATATATATATATATATATATGTATATATATATGTCTGTATATCTCTGTTTACACGCTACTCGTATACCCAACGTTTCCTTAGCTGCCGAGCTACCGCTGGCTCGCTGAGATTTAAAGCACGAGAGAAGAATACGTGGTGTACTTGCGCGATTACATCCCGATAGAAGTAGCATCTTGTTTCTTTTTCCCCAGTCATAATCAGGTAATCGCGTTGTCTCCTCGCTCGCGTGCAAGTAGATTAAAAGCAACGAACTAGAAAAGTTGAAACAAAAAAANAAAAAAAAAAAAAAAAAAAAAAAAAAATTAAAAAAAAAAAAAAAAAAAAAAAAAAAAAAAAGAAAAAAGAAAAAAAATGAATGAACGAGAAAGTAAAGAACTAGAAAGGAAAGAGAGAACACATCCCCAGTATAGTAAGCGTACGCCTATTGAAGGCTCGGCAGTTTTCGCGCGGAGGTAGTTGGACTTCTTGTTTAGGGGACTAGGCATAGTTAGCCTTGATCGTGTCTAGTGTGTCAATGTGCTCGACAATGTCGATTTATTTTCCCGGGCGAGCCAGCGAGATTCACGTGAGGGTATGTGTGTGTGGGCAGTCTGCAGAAACAGGTCAGCGTTATGAGTATGAACTTGAGTGCCAAGCTGGACGAGCTGCAGCGGGGTGACCGCCAGCTGGAGACCACCGTCGCCCTCTGCGAGATCCGCACGCAGCTGCAGGAACTCACCAAGAGCGTAGAGTCTTGCCAGAGCGAGGTCAGCGAGGTCAAACGGGACATGGTCGCGATCAAGGTACTGTTGGTCTCTAACGTTCAACGAGATATCCATGTCGCTTCCACGCCTCCGAAATCTGTTAATTAGAGCTCGAACGCGACGAATGCCGCGTCGACTTTTTCTGTCGTAGCTGTGAAAGAACGGAAAAAAAAGAAAAAGAAAAAAAAAAAGAACGAAAGAGCGAAAGAACGTGCCGGAAAAAGTAAAATGAGATTGATAACTCCTCCTTTTTTGAAAAACGAACTTGTTTGTTTGCTCTGACGCACGTACGTGCGCGTGTATGTACGTCGTGTTTCCTTTTGAAAAAAAAATTCCCTTACGAAAGGAACTTACGTTTTAAACTCGTTCTAAACGTATGGGCTCGTTAAGGTACGCAAAATGTCTAAATCGTATTTCCTAATGTGTTACGCAGCACGAACTAGATACGGTACAGCAGGTGAAAGAAGAAATAGAGGAATTACGAGAATACGTGGATCGACTAGAAGAACATTCACATCGACGGAAACTTAGGCTTTTGGAGCAGGTGACGCTTGATCTATGACGATCAGAAAGTTTCTTATTTTTTTGGTCGTGCGATTTTTATGTTTCGTACCGAGTGTAAAACTCGGTATTGCTTTCGATGGCTGTTTATTTGTATCGATTGATTATCATCATCACCATGATCATTATCATCGCCGTCGTCGTTATCATCATCATATTTGGTTGTTGCGTGATTGTAAATGATTGTGTTACGATCGTTCCATTTGATTTTTCTTTTATGCATCTCTTTGTACCTTTGCACGATGGCCATTTGTTGTAGCATATGATTTTATATAGGCAGAGCGATAAGGCATTTTTTAATAAACACTTTTTACGACATTGTTCGGCGTAGTTTTATTTCACCCCCTCGTCATTATTTCTATCCCCGTTCGCCTGTTGTACGATTTTTATTTCCGATAGAACGCGCGTTCATTAATTATTTTATTTGAAGCAGCTTCTGTTGTTTGAATTTTTTGTTGAGAGAAAAGTACAGTATCGTAGCCTTTTTACAAGTCGTTTCGATGTTCAATAATTTATTCGATGTTTGCAGGGGCTAACACTTTTCCTGTCGTATGCAATACTGGCAGCAGTTTTAGGAATGTTGCAGTTTGGATACAACACTGGAGTTATTAATGCGCCGGAAGTGGTACGTTCTTTCTATTTCTAATTTCCAGCCGCCAAATGTCAAACCATGCCCCCTAACTAGATCGTTTCATTAACAATGAAGTCGATTTAAAAATACTTGTTCCACGAATACTCGATACGTTTGCTACCGCCCTCGAGTACAGACAGACATCAGACGTTATTTGTAACAGCAAAATATGAAATGTTAAACTTTGCAAAGAAACAAAATACGATATGGAACGAACCAAATTTTGTTCCGATCCCACTGTCGTAGCAAACGTATTAAGGAAATGAAAAGATTTAACATTCCGACGACATTTCTACAGAACAGCGTGATTTATTCGTTTCAGAATATTGAAAATTTTATGAAAGACGTGTACAAGGATAGGTACGGAGAGGATATTTCAGACGATTCCGTGAAGAAATTGTATTCCGTGGCCGTAAGCATATTTGCGATTGGTGGTATGCTAGGTGGTTTTAGCGGAGGAATAATTGCCAACAGATTTGGCAGGTTTGTACCCATCCACACTGTTGCAATTTCGTTTCGCACGTGTAATCTCGCTTAGGGCTTTCTACGCGTGCCAGGCGTATCTATCGATATTAAAAATCCGCATCGCGCGGAAGCGTGTATGTATGTACAATATGTATGTTGCGATCAGGTAATCGGTCGATCCGATAACGATTGTTTTCTGTGTCACTCATATATTTTTTTCTCTCTCTCTCTCTTTTCATTCACCGACAGAAAGGGGGGCTTACTGCTAAACAACGTGCTGGGCATCGTGGGGGCGTGCCTGATGGGTTGTACAAAGATTGCTCACTCGTACGAAATGTTATTCTTTGGACGGTTCATCATCGGCGTCAATTGTGGCTTAAACACCTCGCTGGTTCCCATGTACATATCGGAGATAGCACCACTGAACCTGAGAGGCGGCCTAGGCACGGTGAACCAGCTCGCTGTTACGGTGGGCCTCCTGGTCTCCCAGGTGCTGGGCATCGAGCAAATCCTTGGAACGAACGAGGGTTGGCCAGTTCTCTTAGGGCTAGCTATCTGCCCTGCCATTCTACAGTTACTGCTGCTTCCAGTTTGCCCCGAATCTCCAAGGTAGAGACCACATCCAATCGCGTTTGTAAATAAACGAGAAAAATCTTTCCCAAAGATTATCTTCCAAAGTTCTTGCTAGCCTCGGTAGACTTTCGCAATATGTTCGCTAATCTTATTATTTAACTTGGCTCGTACGGGACGATCGTTGTTCCACCCCTCCCCCCCTCCCCCTACACACACACACACACACCCTCTACTTTTCCGTTCCGATCGACGATCACAGCTTCTTCTCTCTTTTGATCCTCTGCTCTAGATATTTGCTCATTACGAAACAGTGGGAGGAAGAAGCCCGTAAAGCTTTGAGGAGGTTGAGAGCCAGTAACCAAGTGGAAGAAGACATCGAAGAAATGAGAGCCGAGGAACGAGCTCAACAAGCCGAATCTAGAATATCGATGACAGAGCTCATATGTAGCCCGACTTTGAGAGCACCTCTCGTTATCGGTGTGGTTATGCAACTTTCTCAACAGCTTTCAGGCATTAACGCCGTAAGTATTACCGGCCTGTAAATTTCGCGTGTGGTACATATTATGCTTTGCCTTCGCGCAACGAAGCATCTGAATTCGAACGATTCTCTAGTGCGATTCATTCACGGGGATAAGTACCACGAATAATGTGACAGCGGACGAAATTGCCCTTTGTTTGTGTGTTTCAGGTGTTTTACTATTCGACAAATTTGTTCACTAGTTCTGGTTTGACAGAGGAGAGTGCCAAGTTCGCAACCATTGGCATAGGTGCCATTATGGTTCTAATGACGTTAGGATCCATCCCGCTTATGGATAGAACAGGAAGACGTACACTGCACTTATACGGTCTTGGTGGCATGTTTATCTTTTCAATATTCATCACAATTTCTTTTCTCATAAAGGTAAGCTCAAATTTCAAGACCGCCTCGCTTTAACTATGCTACTGTAACATTAATGTAACGTCGTCTTTCGAGTGAACGCCAACACGTTTCCCCTGATAGATCCCGCGTATTGTCGCGTAAAAGAAAGGGACGATAGTCAGACGTCCTTAGCGATTACAAATTATTCGAACGATGATTGTCACGTAGAAAGATCTACTATAGAACTGATCAGCTTTCGCTAAAAGCTAAAATGAAACGAGTTAAAACGGAGGGAAGTTGTTCCGGTCGAGCGTAGAAAGTTGATGAAAATCAAGTTCTTTTAGGACATTAATTACGCCACAGAGAACGTGGATTGTATATAGCTGTCTCTCTTTGTGCTTTGTCACTTCATGCACCTTGGCGAAAGGTGTATCTAACACTTTGTTCACAGCTGGAGTGCAGCACTGCATCGACAGTGAGAATTATCACCACTTTACGTATATAAATATGCATTCATTGAGAACTCATTTTTATTTCTCCCGACCATTCATGTAACTTGTAAGATCTGTCCCAACTCCTGCATGTTATTTTTCATTTGCATTACAGAAATTATTCTAATATCCTGTGTACTGACACATAAAGAATCTACTTCTCGATGAAACGACAAGAGCATTGGTAATTTACAATTAAAAAAAATTAATAAACGTATATTTGGAACAAGATGTCGATGCATCTTTAAAAAAGATATTAATGTGTCAAATACCTAGGATGCATGCGGTTCATTTTTATTTGCTTAGGCTTAAATAATTGTGCTTCTTACGAAACCCGTCCTTATCCCTGCCCCATCCCTTTCCTTTTTCATCAACGGCCTCTTTCGTGACTGCCTGGAGGAGACATTTACTCCCTTTATATTATTAGTCTACATTCTTCCGGCTCAAACCTGTCACCCTTTTGCGCATACTAACTAAATCAACGATAATATCGTTAATATATTCCAATCGCGATTGATTACGACGACGAGACTAAACTCCATTACTCTGTTTCGTTGAACGTGTACAGCACTATTGCTTCTTTTGCAACGCCGTCTCTGTCTGACGTCTATGACAATTCGTGTAAAGCAAATAGTACAAGCTATTCGAAGAAGCCACCGAGAGTTCACCGGACTTTACGTTTTCGATCGTCGACCTAATACCGACGACAATACAATATACATGTATGTATCGTTTGTTCGAACGTAAACTTGTTGTATGCCCGACTGCGTACTTGTTACTCAGACCTTGTTCAGGTTTCTCCATATATAAGGTCTATAAGCAACGTGTCCTGGTTACTCCTTGGGTATTATAAAAAAATGGCCAGTATCATATCGCTTGAACGCTTGAGACAGAACGATGTTATTGTACATACATAAATAACAGAGCACGTTGTACGCATTGTCGCATATCGCATCATCGCCTTAAACACAGGGTTGAGCTGCACAACTTTTCTGCATGCGATTTCTTTATTACGTTACGTCAGTTTTATTTCAGTTGAGTTCCTTTGGGTCTTACGATTTTTTCGTTCTCCTGAGAGAGACTCCTCCGGCTGCTCAGGAAAGAAGAACACGATTCTACTGCCTGATAGGAGTTTTTCGGTTATGTGCAGGAAATGATTGACTGGATGTCTTATCTGTCGGTCGTGTCGACGCTCAGTTTCGTGGTGTTCTTTGCTGTCGGGCCTGGCTCCATACCGTGGATGATCACGGCCGAACTGTTCTCGCAAGGTCCCAGACCTGCCGCCATGTCTATCGCGGTCCTTGTCAATTGGATGGCTAATTTTTTGGTTGGCATCGGTTTTCCAAGTATGAAGGTAAGATGTTCAGTTTGAAAGATGCGATCGCATCCTTCAAATTCGAGTCTCTTGATTCTTCATTTTACGTAGCGTTAGCAGTATTATTGCAGTACGATTCGATGGAATAATAAACGTAAACCTTGAATGTAACGTACGTTATATACATAGGTATCTGCGTGAGTCGGAATTGATTCAGCCCTCACAGCGTTCGAGGGTTGAAGTTCTCGTAATATTGAAACAGCGACAAAAGACACGAGTTTTCGAGCGAAAGGGCACGGTTGACATTTGCTATTTTTACCGCTGACCCCCTGTTTTCATGTGTTGCAGACTAGCCTTGAAAACTACACGTTCCTACCATTCAGTGCATTCCTAGCCATCTTTTGGATCTTCACGTACAAGAAGGTTCCTGAGACCAAGAATAAAACATTCGAAGAAATTCTAGCTTTATTCAGGCATGGTAACGACAGGTACGCAATAAACAAACCACTTAATACCATTCCTAATACGTATAGCAAATCATTAGATAGATAATCTTCAGTTCTCAAGCCTTTCTTTCATTTCGCTGATTTCCACCGATCTCTCTTTCTTACTACGTATACGTTATACCTAATGTTCTTGTATGTGTAATGGCTCTATCGGAGGACAGCTTCTTCGTTTCTGTTCGTTTTTCGTTTCTCCATTTCGTTCTCACGCAAGGCGTGAAAAGAACATCCAAAAGACTTTGTACTTTCACTGTTCTACAACATTTTGTGTGTCGATTAACGATCAACGCGGAAATAATTATTACGTTTCCTCTCTCGGAAAACGATTCGTATCCTGTGCATTCGATGCATGACACGCTGTTGTCATATCCGTCCACGTATCCGCCCGTCTTACGATAGCGCATCAAGCGTACACGTAACTACACGTGAATTTTTAATATTATGTTACTCGAATCAGTCGGAGAGTGCAAAAGAAAAAAAAAAAAAGAGAAAAAAAAATCAGCAGAAAGCCAAAAGCCAAGGGCAAATTCGAGTTATTTATTCTTGCGAGTAAGGCGTCCGGAAGGCTAGGAAATGCACGCCTTTAACATATTCGGCAATCGATACGACATTTATATAGGAACGTCGTGCGAAGAGTAGACAAATAATTGTATACGATTAATCGAGTAGATAGTATAATGATCACGAAACATTCGTTTGACGAGGGGAAAAGAGAAAAAAAAAGAAAAAAAAAAGAAAAGAAAAGAAAAGAAGAAAAAATACGAGCGTAGCAATTATTTTGAAATCGAATCGAATCACGCATATGATATTGCACAGTAATACGCTATATAGAACACTTAAAGATCTATAAGAGCTTCTTTCAATCAACAATTACGCAACAATAATTGTCGACTTCATTATTATTATTGTTATTGTTATTATTATCGTTATTCTTATTATTATTATTATTATTACTATTATTATTATTATTATTATTATTAATATATCGTAGCACAACTTCTCTAACGTTACTTTCTACACATGTAGATGAGACATGACGTTACAAATGTGTTAACCTTTGATAAAAGGGGAACGTACTGTCAATCTGGTAGGATACTGATGCCACACTACGTATCTCTGTGTGTATTGCCGCCTAATCGAGGCTATAATGCAAAAGTTTAACTGTGATAAATGTTTGTTCGATTTTCTCGAGAGAAGTAAACTTCAAAGAAGAGAAAAAAAAAAAACAGTATATCAGTTGACCCGTACGCGTGTCCATACGTCGCTAATTGTATCTCTGAGATAAGAACGAAACTGAATAACATTTTCTCGAAATTAAATCTCGCGACTAGAATCGCGGATGAACAGATGCACCATTGGGAACAAATGTACAGAAACCCGAAATTCGATCTCACGTGGAAAATGAGATTTCAAATCGTATCGTAACGTAGAGAAAGCTGCAATTCAGCTGCAAACAATATTGAGATTATAATATCGTACCGACATAATATAATATCGTGAACACGTTCATGGTGATTGTCGCATGGTTGTATAGCAGCAATTTATTGTTCATACCATATCATAGTAGTACCTGCCGATCAAACTCTCGGCACTGACGTTACACCGAACAAAGTCTTTCTTGTAATATACAGAAGGTACAACATTATTTTCGTAGATTCGCGTCTTCTCTTATATTAATAATAGGCAGTAGTTTCGTTCGTCGATTGATACGATCAACAATTCCTCTTTGTTGATGGCAAACGCGCGACGAAAGTACACGAACTGAACTAATTTCTGTCATTGTCGAAGCTACGATGAGATTTGTTTTACCTTCGATTTATTTGAAACTTTTCGTAATTAATTATGGATATTATTCGTTTGTAAAAACAATGCCCAGCTTGAAGCTTTATAGTCTTATTGTTACATATATTTCCCAAGGCCAAACTGGATATTATTATATTTATTTGTTTAGCATATTGTATATGTATTATTTCAATAAATCGTTATTTAATGGTTCTGGTAAAATTCTTTAAGTTCTGAAACTCTTCCGTACAACTGTTTTCTTTTTCTACGACGACAAATTGTGTTCTACATATCGTAATTGTGCTTTCTATGTTATTTGGAGCAGGAGCAGCTTGCGGGACAGCAGACTTTATGGGTGAGTCACGCAACACATTCCCTGTTACTGTGGTGGCTTTGTTACAACGTACTACCATACGAATTTCTCTAAAGATTATTTAACTGCATGACGATCGATTATCAAAGACACCACTAGTCGTCTTTAAAGAAAGGATTATTTTTTAGCCGATCGTTCATCCATCTCTTTTCTTTCTTTCTTTTTCCGTAACTTTTTTTCATTCATTTTCCGCCAAGCCATTTGAGTCTCTAGCCGCATAAATATCTATCTATCTGTTCCAACTATTATTACTATCTGTTCTAACATTTTCATTTATACGAAAGGTGAGACTTTGATGTGTATCAAATTCCGAGCTGAATTTATCCTCGATCATTGCTTCTGCAAGCGAAAAATAATCCTGTCCCTGCCTATTTTAAGTGACTACCATTAACTTCGGTCTAACAGCCTGGCATGTTGAAACATCTTTACTTACTATCAGCTCATGTGAGTTTCCATCTCATGCGCTACTTAAGTCAGGCTAATTAATCGTAACAAACGAGCGAACATAGATTTGCATGAATAACTCGTTTACGACAAATTGTAATTTTTCGTTTTTCTTTTGCGAAGATACATTTCACAGTTTCTAATAGTTCTTCAGGGCTATTATGTGATTAACGCCAAAAGAGAAAAAAAGAAAAAGAGAAAGAAAAAAAAAAAGAAAATACCGCATTCAGCGAAAACATAAAATGAAAAGAAAAGAAAGAACATGTAGAGGATGCAATTCCTAACGATTCGCTCTGGTAAGGTTTGCTTACAACATAACAGCCCCGACTACTTGATTCCCTCCTGGAGCCTTGTATTTTACAGCATGCTCCTTTTTAGTCTACCAATACCCGATAAGTGTTCAACGACAGATCAGTCTTGGAATAATTTTCATGTCGATAGTTGGCACGAGTTTATGGCGCTGTACTGTGCGATTGCATGTGTTAGTGCTTACATTACTGTTTGGCGTACAAATTCATTTCTAAGTTGTATACAACATGATATATATATATATATATATTTTACATCGATAGGCAAACGCAGCAAGAGCCGCTTTGCATAATATTCTATCATCGTTCGCGCAAAACAAAAGAAAATTAAAACAGAAAAAAAAAAGTAAATAAGAACTGAAAGTTAGTAAGATGAAAGAATTAAAAAAAAAAAAAAGAAGGAAAAGGGAAATGTTAACGTGAAGCGTGAAAGCAATTTTACGTTCACGTTCCCTTGTCTGATCAGTGCAGCTCTTGATAAACTCGCAAGCTACGCAATTGTTTTTTTTTTCTTTTTTTCTCTCTCTCTCTCTTTTTTTTCTTATTTTTATCCCCTTTGTTTCTTTATTATGAATTATGCTGAAACAAGGTTTTGCCGAAACATTCGATGAATCGTTAACAGCTTCTATATATTATATTATATACATATACATATATGAATGAACTCTAATCGATAGTCGGTCTATGGTTGCTTTTAAATTTAGCGGAATTTTATTAAATTTGTTCGTTTATGACAGCCATACGCTAGTTGATAAACGACATAGAAATAGTATAAGAAGCCATTTTCTTCTTGTCTTTTATGATCGAGAATGAGTGCTACTTATCAATTTATTATTGTGTATGTTTGACTTTTTACTGTGCCAGTAATTAAGCATTTATGTCATCAATATTTTCTATCTATATTTATAAACTGCTTAGGTAAATTAATGATAAACGATGAAAGGCGTAACGCGAAGAATTTTCTATTTATCTATTGTTTACCGATTGTTCGCCATTGTTTGAATCACAACGAATATAGAGCTTGAACCATTATGCGTAATATTTAAACATTATGGTTGTAAAGTTTCGAACAAGCTGTGTATCTGACACGTTCAAAAGATGATATCGATGATTCCTGTTAAGAAAAATCAGTCTCTAACGTTTCGAACGAGACTGGTTTTAACGACACTTGGAATCACTCTCAAAAGAAATTTATACGTACATATATAAACGTTGTATGTTCTTCGACGCAGTCTCACAGAGCATCTCTCCTTTCTTTTTTGCTACTTTGAAACATCTCTGTCGGAAAATTCTATATTCGCACGACGAAACACGAAGTAAAACTATTTCGTGTCGAACTTTGCCAGACGACAGCCGATCAGATTGTTGCGCGCGGCGTGTAATAACTCGAAACGAGTTATTCATCGAAGTTTTCTCGAGAGTATTTTTGGTACTCACTTTGGTATTTTGGAATTTCGAAATTTGGAATTTTTTTCAAACGAACTTTTTCTTTTCCATTTTTTTCAACATAAGATGCATAATGCGCGTGTTTTTAACATAATAAACTTCGGTACGAAACTAGGGTTTCTCTCTCTCTCAAAATCGAACACAAAAACGATTCGAGGCTCGTTGGCCATGTAACATTATTATATTGCAGGGAAGAGGAGCTCGCCACTAACTCTAGCAAGGAGACCGTCCTATCTGACGCCACCACTGCCAACCATACCCATGCTACTGACAAACCATAAAAATATTAAAAAAAAAAAAAAAACTGACAATTGAGAATGATTTTAATCGAATAACGAAGGTCACTATAGATTCACGTATTCAGTCAATCTAATGGAATAATTGTTATCGGCAACGATTTAGCATACTCGTAGCACATAAACTGCTATAAGATATCATTGTATCACTGACTTACACACACGTTTAAGACTAAAACAAAAGAAAAAAAAAAACTTTTTTGGAACACTCGTTACTAGTATATATTATATCAATGAACGAATATTTCGGCATCACCGATGAGATCGTATACATATACATATACATATACATACATACATATATATATATTATATATATATATACACACACACATATATTCTATGTTGTAAAATAAATCTGTTTGTTTATTTAATTACCGGTTTCAGTTCTCTTCCACTCGTACATACGACCTCGACGTGGAGTTTTTTTTTTTTTAATCGTTGGTCAAGCTTTTTGACCTAATTTTCGTTTACCTTGTAGGGAAAGTCAATTAAGAATATTCGTTACGTTGCGTTAAAGAGATCGAAATGTGTCTCGTGCAGCGTACGTTTTCTTTTAGTCCTTCTGTTTCTCGATGTTTAACCGCGGACACCCGTTCAACTCGATTCGAGAAATAGATATATCGACAGATATTATACGAATGATTATATGTACAGGCGATGAATATATGTGTTTGAAGTCTACTACACAGGCCAGTGAACCACTGTAATCCTACAAGGCTAGAAACTGTGAAATGAATTATCATTTCTCGAGAGACGAGAAAGGAAACACGCAGCGAATGTACGCGCAGATTGGAAAATTTATCCAAGCAAAATGTTTGCGGTGCAATAGTCATTCCTACTTACATATATGTATGACAAGTAAAATACGAACGAGAATAGGCAAAATTAAAGTTCGACTAATGGTAACTTTGCAAGTGTACTATCGTGTAACACGTGCCACAAAACAAAAATGAAGTACATAGAATGAATTGTCGTATCAATAGCATTAATAAATAATAAGCGGATTCACGTCACAAACATTGAAATTTTTCAAATTCAAATCCAGGTCAATTAGGATAAGATAAACTAAAAAAAAAAAAAAAAAAAAATTTTCAATTTATTTATAATTATTTTTCCCTAAAAAAAAACAAAAAAAAAAAAAAAAAAAAAAAAATGAAAAGGATATGTAACTTACGTTGACGGATTGTTGATAAGACGCGATGTACTATTTTCTCATGATCCTACGACGTCGGTGCATGTTGAAACGATGCCCTCGACGAAGATCTGGAATATAATAAGAAAAGGAAAGATTCAATAGACATGTATGAAGAAGCGGAAACTTGGACAAGTCGCGTGATGTTTTGCAGGAGCATGCTAAACTGTGTGAATGCATTAGAGGGACACATACCGCCAGCAGAGAGTGCAGCCCTGATGGTGGCCGAGGAGAAGCCACATCCTGATTCATGTAAGGCTTAAAAACCTGACCAAGATCGTCCACAATCATCTGTCACCATATAGTCATTTCCGTCTTTATACGACAAACAATTCTTTCGATTTTTCCATCCGATAATTTAGAAAAACATGGTAACAACGCAGGGGAAATGTTGATGTAATGATGATGGAAATGAAAAAAAAAATTCTGCCCAATTAAGTTACTTTTTTAAGTTTTTCAAAGAATTGTTTGTTACTTGTCGCTTATATCATCTACCTATCATTGTGCATGTCATAATGCCATCTATGTATGTTCGTGAATTTTGTTTATTTGTAGTTTCATTGTGATACATTCGTTTTAAATTTATTTGCAACTATTATTTTTCTGCTTTCAGTATGATTCAAAAGTGCAGAGGAATCAAAAGTGCTGATTATATGAAATCAAAATTACATTGCTGCTTCGCTACTACAAGACATACAAGTGATCCTAGCAGAGAACAATGTTACACTACCTATATATTTTTGTGTTGACAATAGTAATTTAGAGGAATACAGTCGTGCATAATTCCGTTGTAAATGAGAGCAACAAGAAGCTATTTTAATCACGTCACAGATGTTCAATCATTGATCACAGATGTATAATACATACATAAGATGTTAGAAGTTAAAAATTTCATTGCTATCGGTATCTCTTGTAAATGCTCATTCTCCAATTTTGGTTCGTTCCTAATTATTCGTCTTTTATTATTCTATGGTAAGGAATTTTCACCCAAAAATTTACGATCTCATTACACATTTACGATGTTTTTTTTCTTTCTTCCCAGGGAAGGAAAAGTCATTGCTATCGAGAAATTTTAATTGCCTCAAATTCATTTTCACTTTATGTAACTATTTGCATTTCATTGGTCATAGTTCTATTTTAGCTTCTCATGACTCACACTGCTTCAGCCAAACACTCACACCATTACACTCAATTAAAAGTTGAACATAGTTAAAGTATATTTTCATATAGAGCTTATATTCCTGACTTCGCCACACATGTGAATATTAATGATAGATATTGTAAATATTAAGCAATATTGTGAATAGAAATAGATACGTAATTTTATCGTATCCCTTTTTTTTTATCATAATTTGATAAACTCTCAGCATTATAAGCTCTATGATTTGTATATATATAATATATAATGTATATATATGTATATGTACATATAATATGTATACATACATATACACATATATATACATATTATATATATATGTCTCTCTCCTGTCATCTGTGTGCAGTATGATAATCTGTTGTCCTATTATATATCTGAGTCTAAACAATTCTGAGTACTCCCATGATTCTTACAAATAAAATTAGTAGATATATTGGCTTCATTTCCATTCTAAGAGTATACATATACTATGCGCTATTAACCACTGGCCTTTGTAGTAGTTTAAATGGAGGTAGGCCATTAAGGATTTTTACATTAACACATATGGTCTCCACAGATCGATTTGTAAATGTAAAGCCATTAAAAA